ATTTGTGCTCATGTGATGCTCAGATGATAAACTGTAAAGCAAAATATTTTGGAACTTGTTCAAATTGGTGGGGGTTCTCCACCAAGCTGGCCGGATTCGTTTGTATCTGTATTTGTAACTTTATTATAGTTTTATGTTCAATTATCGAAAGAAAGATATTTCACATTTTCACTTGTAGGAATTACATCGACTAGTTAAATAAATCCTTGTTAACTATTTTTATACTTATTCAAATAACAATAGTTCCCAAAACGAAATTTCAAATATAATGCTCACCTTGACACCAAGTATTATTTAACCCAAAAACTTTTAAATAAAACTCATGCGCAATGCATGGGATTGAATGGAACTTCGATTATGTTTGGTTGAGAAATTTAGGTTTTACATTACTTTGGTTATAGGCGATACATTCAAGTTTGATTCAACTGGCATGTAACACGTGGCATTGTTGGAGGGTAGTCTCATTCTTTCATGAGGAAAAACTTTGCCTGGTGGCCCCCAACAACCTATACTGTTGTTGAGAGAATGGTAATTTTTCCTATTTTATTTTGATTAAAAAGAAAGACATATGCGTGAATTGGTGAACATGCCTCGCCCAAAATAGCTGTTGAAAGTTACCCCCTTTCGCAAGCCTCGAAGGGAAATTATGAGATTTTGCCATTTTTTCAATCCATCTTCACATGAAAAGACGTGATTTAACCAAACGGTCTTCAAATTGCTATGATCTTGATGCAAAAGCTCACATCGTCTTTCAACTATTAAAGCTTCCAGAAAATCTTTCAAAAAAAACTTGCCAAATGACCCCTAAGATAACTCTAATGAAGTAAATGTTAACTTATTAGTATTTGAGTTATTAATTCATGACATGTCTGTTCGCATAAATGGATATAAGAGAAAAATTCTATTTATATGTTTCCGGTTGGACTATGATACCAGAAAGACATGGTACCAGAAAAACTTACAGCCAATCAACTGGTATAATAAAATAGGTGACCAATCAGGTGGTATTCCTCAAACTTCATGGGGGTGCTTTAATTGGTCAAAACTCTTCTGATACCATGTCTTTCCAGTATCATAGACTTTCTCTTGTGAGAAAATGCAAGAAAAACTAGTGGGAATATATTTTATTGATTTTTTAATGTATTTAATATGTCTGGAAGGAGATTTCAATTGTTTACAATTTGCTATGATAGGTGTTTTACAGGTTCACCTTTCATCTTAGTGTGGCACAAAAAGGAAGTCTAATGTTAGATCAGATTATCAAAATTTGAGTTTTTCCTCCTTATAATCCTTTTCTACAATGGATAATTGACATATTGTTACCATGTTTCTTACTAGTTTTCAAAAGCAATTTTGTCAAGCATGAACTTTCCATTTCTTACTGTTTAGTATATTAATGGTATTGTACCTGCAATTCTGAGGTTTTTCAGGAATCCCCCTACAGTTCTGATCTCTTTTTCCATGTCAAGACTTTATGTGAGTAGGAACACCAACATTTCTGCTGGAGTTGCAGAGTGGAAGATAACCAATCCTGTACATGTGGTATGCTCTGTTTTTGTTTCTTCTATTAAATGAATAAATTGATCAGTGTTGCATCTGCGTATTGAGATGTTCACTCTGTATCACTTCCATAGTGGGGACTTGGAGTTGACCCCACAGAACTTGAGGCTCTTAGTGGTATGGGAACTAGGCATCACATTCATCCTGCTGTCTCCACTCTTGAGTCCCTACTGATTGTCTGACCTAATAACTTGACTAGTACAAAAAATAAAGGCATTGATCAGTTGCATGACATGCATCAAATAGCAGTGTTGTTTGTTTAAAAAATCTTGGTACAAGTATAGTGTGCTCATTCAAATACATTGCAGGCGATTTCAGGACTTTCTCCCATCAAAAAAGGGGTTAAGTGATCGATGATACTTACTGCTCAATGACTTGTACATCTCTATTGCATTGCGCTGATGAACGCACAAAGATCCTACTGGTTAACTATGAAAAATGAGACTTTTCAAAAGATATGTTGGTCATTTTATTGGTGATGGTCTGTATCTGCAAGCATTCTTTTCTAAAATTCTGGATACGAGATTGCTTTGATAATCATTTCAAGGGTGCATAATTGTCTGTTAAAAGAAAAGAAAGTTAGGAAGGAAGAAAATAGGAAGCACTATTTGTAAATTCTCTGATTCGTATGAGATTCTGCTCTTGATTTATTTTTTATATGTAATAGAAGGATATCTTTACCAATGGAAAGGAAGGGGAGATCATTTTCTGTGATACCATGTCTTTAAATTTATTTTTGTGCTTTTGTAGGTCTGCTATTTCCGCTACTTGAGGTTTTTACCTTCTGGCAAGTTCTTTTACAAGGTTACTTCCCATATCTGGATTTCATTTAGGGCCTGTTCCTTTTTCGGATGAGGGGGGAAATTGGTCAATGGGAGAGCTATATCCTTTTTTCAGATTTATGTGGGATTCATGGAAAATTTATTTTCCCTAGGTATCCATCTCCCTGGTGGGTAACTTTGCATTTGGGGGAAAATTGCCAACACTTGAATGGAACAAAATTGCCCCTCTTAACAATGACTTTTTATAGCTAAAACGGTCATTATCTCATTTCCCTGAGCAATAAAAGAAGACGAGTAAATGCACTTGCCCAAGAAATAGTTATGGGGGCAAATGCATTTACCTATGTAAGAAAACACTTACCGGGTAAGTGCATTTACCCAGGTAAGTAACTTCCCACAAGTGCCTCATTAACTTTCTCAAAAGATTTTGTCTTGCTGTATCTAAATGTATATTCTTACAATGTTATTCTGTTTTGTCAGAATTCTTCTGGAAAGGTGAAAGATGTGGCAAAATGCATGAACTTCCGTGCTTCTAAAACTGATGTGTTTTTAGTGGCCACTACGCACTGTCTGATGACAAGGTCTGGTTTCATTTTCTTGGTCGGTCTTCCAGAACTTCACTCCATACTTTGCTATCCACTTCTCCATTTCTATACCATTAACATTTCATTAGATGGGAAAATCTTATTGGAACCTTCTACTTTCTAGTCCACCACTTCGTTCTTATATTTCAATATGTTAACTGATGTTCATTTCTGGTCTTCATCTGCAGGTTGAAGCTGCTCTCCTGTATCCAGACTTGCGTTCTACTGCTTTGAGAATTCAGTTAAGGTCTCACATGGTTTTGCTTGCATTTTTTCTGTTGTCTAAGATATCTATTTGGGTCATTGGGGCTATCATGTGATGTTGGAAGCATATGTTCTTTCTGAACCTATTTGCTAGAAATTGGGGCTATCATGTGATATCTTCCTTGTTGACAAATCCTTTTGATAATGTAATGATGGTGCAATACAATGCTCTCACGCATGCTTACTATAAATTTATTATAGATCTAACAAGTTAATTTCTTTCTTCCTTGTTCATCATTTTACAGTATCTTCACAACTCCTAGTTGAATGAATCTGCTATATCCCTTCTTGTCATGAGCAAGCCCATAGGAATTTGAAAACATCTTCTGTGGCTTTTCAATGATGTTCAAGATATCTCTGGATTAAAATGTGTGAAAACCCATGAATTTCTGACGAATTTTCCTGCTATTACCTGAATGTGGAGTTGATGCTATTCAGTTATGTTGAACAAATACTTCCTGCTTGATGATAAGTCTCTTCTATTAGCCATTTCAAGAGAGCAAGAATTTTGACTTGTCAAAGGCCATTTATTTCTTATGGTGGTTTAGTTTCACCATGAAATCACACACCCCAATCTTGTGCGTTGTACAGGTTGAAACATCGGTTCTGAATCTTCCTGTGGACAAGATGGATTATTTCATGCCTGGGAAAATACTTGCATCAGGAACTTCCACTCTGTAAATACGTATAGGTCAGGAAGTTCCCTATGAATATAGGCTATTGTAGTAATCTTTAAGTTTGTGAAATCTTTTAGTGGTCTAATCTCATAATGAATGATTAACCAAAACAAGGATTTTGTTTTTTTAGCTTTTGTGTATAGTTGAGATGAGATGCTAACTATGCCATGATTGTGATCTTTTGTCCTCCTTTTCTGAAATATATCAGTATGTTCTTATGGTGGAAACAAAACAAATTGTTGGATGTTGGACTTAACTGAGGTGCCATGTTTAAATTCAATTACCAATCTTCTATCATGGGCTTCTTCACCTAATAGTGATATTTTAGTAACTCTCAAGCCCTTAAGTTCCGGCAGCAGTAACTGGTACAATTTTTTATCTGACATCTTTGTTTGATCACTCTCTTAGTTTCTCTTGATTTAATAAAGATTGTAACATCTCCAGGAATGACATATTTACACCACAAGCAGATAACACAAATAGTATCGCCTATTGCTGTGCAGTTGCCAAATATAGTTTCGTTGATCATCTACAGAGAATACTTTGTACCTCAGCCATTATGCCTGCAAATGGTATCCATTTTATCTGAATGCCAATTCAAATTCCATCCCATTAAACTGATCTGAACTAAATTAAATCCCCTTTTAAAGCTGAAAATGATTGCGATATGCAGTGTATGGTTTCTCTGGAGTTTCCCTTCATGGTGTTGTTGGCTGGGATTCTGAATATCATTATTTCCAATTTACCGTCTAATCCATCTATCCTGAGCATGAAGAATATGAGCCACCTGAGTTCATTCCGTGGGCAGTAATGAAAATCAGTCCCCTGATTTTCATGTTTGTTTTCTACGCGTTGGACCGTATTAAAATTTCAAGTTTAGGTTGTCAACGATGTATAGAAGAAGAACAAGAGAGGAATGCCTATATTATTGCTATTCATAATGGTTTTCATTTAGAAGGTAAACTCATTTGCACACATGCACATAGCCATCCAAATCTGTCAAATGACTCAGCCAAAGGAGTTAGCTTCTGTAAATTAGACCTTGACTTCGGAAGGTGGAATTTTTAATTGATAAGACAGTCGAAAATGGTTAGCAGCAATTTGTGGTCCATTGGTTCAGACATCCAACCATATATTTAAAATGACCTGGTTTTGATGGAACTAGAATTGACCTCTCACACATACTCCATACTTAAATTTGCATATAGTTTCCTTTTTTATTTCTCAGATAGATGCACCCACAACATAACCCCCTAAAGCCATGAAATGAGGAGCAGAGTATGGACATCATTACATAGAAAAGATGTTCTTTATTCTTTTTGATATGTATGTCTATGTAAATATATTCTAGTTGGTAAAAGTTGAGAACTTTCACATATTAGATTTATGACCATCTGTATATATGATTGAATTCCATGATGGATTCCGGGGAAGAAATGTATCCTGCCAAAAAGAAGCAAAGAAATGCCAGATTAATTCCTGTTCCGGTGGCATGATAGAAAAACTGTCATACAAAAGAATAAGTTTTCAAGACCAATCAAAGAGAAAAATCGATTTTCAACAGTATGGCTATGCAACTGTATTTTGAGTTGGAGACATGCAACATGAGGGAATAATGCAGCTGACAGGAGAAAAAAAGTTTATCTTGAAACAACGTTTTAATCAAATTTACCCTGAAACAATGTTGTTTGACTCTAGAATTCAGAAATCTCAAAATTGATAACTTGTGGCACGTATTGTTCAATATTCAACATTTAAACAAGATAAATCACATTATGGCTCAAATGATGTGTTCATGAATACCTAAAAATATGTTTAGCAAAGATAAATGTGTTCATAAGCTAAAAGCCTAAAACTGAAATTGTTGGATAGTAGTACTCAAATATGGCTTTTCAAAGACATCTTTGAACATTTCTCCAAATGTGACTAGATTGAATGCTAGGTTTAGCATGTACTAAAATAACAGCTGTACTGTTAGTGGTAAAAGAATGAATAAAAAGAAAGACTTTCCACATGTTTTCATGAGTTACCATGATGGAGCTGCGAGATTTTTCACATTTCAATGATCAGTTTTAAGAGGAATCGCGGTAAGCATAGATAAGACCGAAAGATTTGATAAGAATCTTGTCTAAGCCAAAATGGACCCAAGTTCTAGAAATGGAAACTGCTAGAAAGATATGTGAATCTCTGGCACAAAATCTTGTTTCTTTTTGAAGACACATGTTGCCCATCCTTCTCTCTGCAAGATTCAAAATCCCTGTGTTTTACTTACTGGATTAGACTTTTGAAGACACAAAATCCCTCTATTTTCCCTACTGGATTAGATTGGATGACATTGGTCTTTGGCGAAGGTATGATTAATAGCACCAAACAAGAATTTCTCACGATCAAATCTATCTGCCAGGACTGCTTGGGCTCTAATTTCTAGATTCCAATCGCTAAGTCCACATAATATTACCCAGACAAGTTAGACAAAAGTAATATATGATATGTGCGGTTCCTTGAACAATCCTACAAACCTAGTAGACAGTCATGACTCATGAATGGCTCAAACCCAAGAAAAAAAAGGCTCCTACTAGTAATTAACCATGATGAGGATGAGTTTACAAAGTCAAACAGAGAAAAATGGAACTACAGCGTTCTGCAATTTTGAGTAGGCAAGTAAAAAAACAATATTAATACAAGGATTCACTTGAGAAACAACCATTTATATGGACCATAAATTAAAGATCAACAACGGGAAATTCTAGCCATACTCAGGATCACCTTCAGTTAAATAGAACAGCAGCAGCTATTGATGCTAAAGAAATCCTAAACGGGACACAATCTACCGAATGAAAACTTGAGAGAAGCATCCGAGCAATGGAGGATATAAACCTAGATTGCAAGAGGTAAAGTACAATCAATCAACACATGTACAAAAGAAAATTACAAAATCTAGACAGAAAATTCATGAATTTGATCCATATTTAAAGTCTAACATCACTACAAAAGGCACAGAACCCAGAAGTCAAACTTGCAGACTACCAATTAATCCGGAAAAAACGTTCAACCACCGGAAAACATAAACCCAGAAGGCAAACTTGCAAACTCACAATTAAAACCCATCAAAATTCGAAACGATGAAGCATACTCGTAAAACAAAAACCTAACATACACCAATCGGAATTCTTGGCCAACACTAAGAGCCCCACTGCACTAATAAATAAACCACGAGAATGGAGTGGTGGGGGAGACTTACAGAAACGTAAGAACAGGTTGGGATTACGGACATGGAATGAGCTTTCGCATGATTGAGGGCCGAGACACAGAGATGGGAAGCGAGACCGTGGCCTCTCTTGCTAGATGGAACGAACGTGTGAACGATGTCCATGACTTTCCCGCCATCCCTGAGCTCGTACTCTATGTAAGCTTTCTTATCCTCTGTCTCGAACCTCTGCTGGCTCTCGTTCCAAATGATCTTCGGAGCCTCTGTTGCCATGTCTCTCTCTCTCTCTCTTTAGTCTTTACTGACCAGTTGAGAATAAAATTTTGCTTTTTAATATAGCAAGGCAAGTGCTTCAAGTGAGTGGAGGTGCACTATCGACTTCATTATGGCCCAATAGGCCCATAGTGACTGCTTTTGGGCTTTGTGCGTTGTGACTTGTGAGAGTCTGAAGGTAGAAGACTTAGACTCTTGGAGTTGAATTTTGAGACTTTTTTTTCTTTTCTTTTCGAAGCCTGATAAGGCGAGACTTTTTGGTCTTAGGCATGGTTGAAGGGTCTAAGGGTCTATTTTCGGTTTTAGACCTGCTTTTGGGCTTTGTGCGTTGTGACCTGCCTATTCTTTTGACCTGCAGAGTATGAAATGATGGGAGTTCTGTCTGTGCTTGTTTGAAGGGTCTATGTTGTGGGAACAGAGGAAAAGATGGGATAAATTGAAAGGTCAGAGAGAGATTGCTAGTTGAAGGGTCTATTTAAGTGCTTGTTTGAATGATCAAGTGTGCAAATTTCCGCTTCATACCCACCTCACAACACTTGTTTGAATGTTCTAATGTGTGGCTGCAACGTAAGTTAAGTAGGTGTGACTTGTAAGAAGAGATGAAGCCTCACGAGCCCCTTGCAAATGGGGACTTTTAGTTTTAGAGTCTTAATCTAGGGACCAAGTTTGAAGTTTGAAATTTAAATGCAGATTTCAACTAATCACACCTTTTACTGTATGGTGCAGAGGATGCACCATAAATTTTACCCTTGATATATCTCTGGCTAAACAGAGATTTGTGCTAAATTATATTCATATTGATTCAGGTTCAAAATGGGCTCTAATTGTTTGGTCTCCCTTCAACAGGTCAGAAGCACATATTTTGGGTATAGAAAAATTGAGTATATAGGTGTGGGTGTTCAGGTGTTCAGTGGGTTAAGACTTAAAAGAAACTACATCAAAATTAGACCATTTTTTAGCTCTGGTTGCTGTAGTATTTGAGTAGACAGACACCCTAAAGCCCAGAGATCTTCCGCATGATAATTAAGCACTTAATATGTGCACCTAAGTTTACAAAAGGTCTAAGTAATGCCTTATTCCTTCAGTCATATCTTAAATTATGTGGTGAAACCACCCTTATAACACCTCTTAGAAAAAATAATCTATTACAAATTGAAAGGGCTAAAAATTAAAAGAAGTTGAATAAATGACTTAGATATAAGTAATAAAATATGGTGCAAGTGCCCTTAATTTCACAAAAGATATGGCACAGAACAAAATTCATGTAACCGACTCCATATGGTCAGGACAAGAATTAGATGATGATGATATTGGGATCGGTAAACATTTTAAAGTAAAAGATATACTCTGCAAACAGACATAGGCAGTGTTTGGCAACGATGCAGACGATGACGAAAACGGTGCTACATCGGTGCCACATCAGAAAAAGCGGTACTTTAGAAAATGACCTTTTGTTTGGCATCATTTTTCCCAAGGTTCAAAGTATCAATACGTATCGGCCGTATCAAGAGTTTCCCGATACACCCTTACAAGGAATGTATCGAGATTTTGACTAGTTTAGGGGGTGGACGAACCTTAAACCGACCCCTCTAAACTGGATTTGAAAAAAAAAAAACACTAAAAAAATTATGATGTATCAGGTGTATCGATATTTTGAACCTTGGTTTTTCCAAAAAAATGTTACTCTAGACCATGCCTTGAGAATTGGGAAAATGTGGTATGAAGAAAACTCCAAATTCAATGTTTTCTCAAAAAACCTCTTACTGCCAATGGTGCAATGACGTGACATCAATGTTGCATCATTTTGAGCATTGGATAATGTATACTGATGAAGGAAGATTTGGCCCGACCTCGTAATCACTCAACACGTGGCAAAGGCAAACAGCTCGGCACAACAGCGCACCAAGGGCGCAAGCACCAAAGGGAAGAAACCAGCAGTCCGACCTCCTTACTAAGAGCCCGACCTCCCTACTAAGAGCTCAAACTCCCTACGAGGAGCCTGACCTCCCTACGAGGAGCCCGAACTCTCCCTTAGGCCCAGCGCCACACAAGGCAGTGACCCGAACTGGCCCGCCTCATGGCAGTTCAGGACACTCCCCTATCCGAACTCAAGACTTCACCTCGTTCGCCACTCCAGCACTTCGCCACCGAGACGCCGAACTGAACAAACGTACCATACCTGACACCGAGGAGATCCGTATCCAAGGGCGGCGCACCTGATTGACATCTGACGCTTGACAGCCGCACTTCAACGGTCACCTACCACCGCCACCTGCCACCGTCATCGCTAGTCATAGAGACGGCTCCGACAAAAGGGAGCAGTGGCGGTTCTGTCCAGCAGAGGGAATGACACCCGAACTGGTAGGAGACCAGAGGTAATTGTACCTGACCTGACAGAAGCTTAGGAGTGAGTGCACGAGGTGGCTATAAAAGGCTCCCTACCCCCAAGAACAAGGTACGTGAACTTTGCGCCATCTGGTTTTATCTTGCCTAAGAATTCTAACTTGAGCTTTGGAGCATTCATACCGGGTTCCCCCCGGAGCTTCCCCATCTTCTCTGTTTCAGGCTCCCTGTATCTTCGTTCAGAGGCAAGGTCGTTGACAGCTAGGACCAGCCGGATTGCGCACCATCAATTGGCGTCGTCTGTGGGAACACTTCTAAAAGCCTCCCTCTAAACTCTCATAACCTCTTTTCTTCAAAAACCCCAACACTCATGGCTTCTTCCAGCAACGCCGGACGTGGCATGGAGACAAACACCACCGGGGAACAACTTCATGTCCCCGTGGTGTGCGTCGGACAGTTCACCATCCCCCTTTTGGTGGACGGGATCCCCAGCTTGAATGCGCCACAAGCAGTGGCGCCCGTAAACCTTCCTGCCATGAGCATCCCCTTTCCTCCCCCTATCGAGAAAACCTTTACTAAACCAACTGTCGTCCCCTGGCAACCGGCCAAAACTGGTTGGACGACCTGATGCATGCATGCGGGCAATGCAAGCCCAAATGCAACAATTCCAGCAACACCAGCTCCAACAGCACCAAGTACTGCATAACATCTCCCAGTATCACTATCAACAGCAGTTCCCCCAACTGCCGCTGAACCAACCACTATTTCCACCTTGGCACCCTGCTCCGAGGCTAGTTAAGGCCTCCCCACAGGATGGACGCCCCCACCAGGGAAAAGCCTCCCGGCCCCAGAACCCCCCTAACAACCAGGCCTCGTCCCCAGGCCGAAGAGAGAGAAAAATCATCCCCGCCTCACAGCTCGCAGGCGGGTCAAGAACCTCGCCCGCAAGGTCAGCACCTCGGCGCTCCAGGCCCGAGTTCCCGCTCACGGAAAACCGATTCGGCGCCCTGGCAGTAGACTACCAGCATTCCGGGCCCATCGAGCTCGGCAACACAGAGGCCAGCAGTGCCAGTACCAAGCCCACTCAACAACGAAGGCGCCGGCGAAGTCGCCGAATTGCCACCCGTGTCCTGCCCGAGCTCAGAGGTAAAGAAGAGACGAGCTCGGACAAGGTAACAGTTGCCCCGATTCTCTCAGTTCCTTCCCCCCTCGCATCAGAACTCCTGGYGGTCCCCTTGCCCAGAGATTTCAAGCTCCCACCTTTGGACAAGTATGATGGGTCCTTCGACCCCAACGACCACGTTGACGTTTTTCAGTCCCAAATGCACCTCGCCAGGGCCAGTGAATCGTGCATGTGTGTGGCCTTCACCACCACCTTCAGGGGAGTAGCCCGCACTTGGTACAGGAACCTTGCCCCCGGGTCGATAAGATGCTGGGCCCAGTTCGTGCAAGTCTTCACCGCACACTTTGTCACCAGCAAGCAGTGCCCCAGAACAGAGGAAAGCATCTTCGAAGTAGTCCAGAGAGAAGGAGAATCCATCCGGGGCTACATCAAGCGGTTCAATGAAGCGTGCTTACAGATACCGCGGTTAGACCCTGCGGTGCAGCTCGCGACGGCCAAGAGAGGAGTAACGCACAAAGAGTTCAAATGGCACATGGTAGCTAACCAGCCCGCAACCGTGGTCGAATTCCTCAAGCTCGCGGGTAAGTTCATGAGAACAAAGGAAGAAATCAACCAACGAACCAAAAGCGGGAACGAGAAAAGAAAGAGGGAAGGCGAACCCTCCAACCCAGTCGACAGAAAAAACCCGGCCCGGGAGCCGAAGCCGAACCAATCGTCCCGAGCTCCCTTAGCAATTCGGACGGATTACACGCCGTTAAACATGAGGCGGACCGAGATCTTAATGACGATCAAGGACGCCCCATACGTAAAGTGGCCACCTCACCTAAAGGGAAATCCGAACGAGAGATAAAAAATTGTACTGTAGTTTCCATAGAGACCACGGTCATAGTACCAAGCAGTGTAATAATCTCCGGGACGAGATAGAGGGACTCATCCGTCGCGGATATTTAAGGAATTTTGTACAGCATGATAATAATAACAACAATACGGCGGGTCGGCAAGGGGAGCACAGAAAGGATGCCCCCGAATCTAGCAGTAGACCAGCCAAACCGTTGCAGCGACAGCCTCCGGAAGAGAGGCCAGTTCGGGGAACCATCCATGTAATTGTGGGAGGTTCGGTGGTAGCATGGTGTACTTCGGCAACGGCCCGGACGTCAGTTCGCGAAGCGGCCCAAGAGGAACAGAACCCCCCAAAAAGACCAAATACTGAAGAGCCGATCTTCTTCACAGAAGACGATGCGCGAGGGGTCCACTACCCCTACGATGATGCGCTTGTCATTAAACTAAGGATCAGCGACTTCGAGGTCAGGCGCGTACTCGTAGATTCGGGCAGCTCGGCAGACATCCTCTTCAAGTCAGCATTTGACCAGCTACAGTTATAGAGGAGCGAGTTGAAGCCCGCGAACACTCCTC